TTGATTTTGTTTTGATTTTTGAGACAAGGTCTTTCTATATGGCTTAGGATGACCTTGAACTCACTTTGTACCCCACATTGGTTTCAAACTCTCCATCCTCCTACTTCAGCCTCCAGAGTGCTGGGGATTACTAGTGTGAAGGAACACACTGAAATTTTTTTTCTTTTATTTTTTTGTTATTGTTGTTATTTTTGGATTTAGGGAGGATCTTATTCCATAGCCCTGGTTGACCTAGAACTCATATGTAGATCAAGATAGCCTTGGATTTACATAAATCCTCCTGTTTCTGTCTCTGGAGTGCTGGGACTACAGATATGCATCACCATGCCTGAAGACCAATAGTTTTCATACTTCTATGTTCATCCCAAGTTTTTTATGTTCTCATAGAGTCCTTCCCTGCCATTCTTAAATAAAGTGTTTATGTATAGGGGGAGGTATTTTATTTTGTATTTGTTTTGTGATTGTTGGCTTTTTGAGAAAGGGTCTTCTTATGTAGCACAAGCAGACACTGAACTGGTGATCCTCAGCTTCCTGAGTAATTAATTCTTTTTTAGGTTTTACTTATTTTTATTTTATGTGTATGTGTGTTCTGCCTGCATGTGTGCAAGAGTACCGTGTACATGCAATGCCCATGGAGATCAGAAGAGGGTATAAGATTCCCCTGAACTGGAGTTACAGACAATTGTTAGCTGACATGTCGGTGCTGGGAACAGAACCCATGTCTTCTGAAAGAACAGCCAGTGCTCTTAATCAGTGAGCCATCTCTCCAGTCCCCTACATAATGAATTCTGATAGTACTTCCCGACCCTCAGATTTTACTCTGAGGATGGAAATCCATCAGTTAAAGAACTATACACTACTTGTAAAGTAATGAAATAAATTAATGTGCTGTGGTTCTAAGTAAAATAAGAAACAAAGATGTCAAAAGAACAGGTTGATATATTTGGCCATATAAAAATTAACAATACTTGCAGAGCTCTACAGCTCCCCTACTGACAATGTGGCTGCTTATCCACCATGTGCGTCCCTGACCTCCATGCAGGCTTATTTTTCTTGCTTTTTTTTCTCTCTCTCTATTCCCCTCCTGGCAGCAGGTTAGATTTACAGCTTGCTTGCCCCAGGGTTTTTTCATTTTAAACTCTAATAAAATTGTCTTCAAGCATCAAAAAAAAAAATGACTTGTAGGCTAAGAAAACCAAAAGCTAAGCTGAGCAGAATGGCACACACCTACAATTCTAGTACTCCAGATACAAAAGCAGGAAAACGAAATTCAAGGTTACTCTTGGTACCAAGAAAATTAAAGGCCAGCCTGGGCTGTATGGAACTCTTAAAAAAAAAAGCCTGCTGGACATGGTGACTCATGCCTATAATAAACACTTGGGAGCTGAGGCAGAAGGACCACCATAAGTAAAAGCCAGCCTGGGTTGCACAGTAAGTTTCAGGCCAGTTTGGGATAAAGAGTGTGTCTGAAGGAAAAAACAAAACAAAAAAGGAAGAAAGCAAGGGAGAAAAGGGGAAGGAAAGAGAGACAAGAAATGGAAAAACATATTCAACCACCTTCAGAAAAATATTAGTAATAATACACAAAGGGTTCAAATAAATAAATAAGCAGCTCATTAGAAAAATAGGAACAATATATGAACAGTAAACATCCAAGAGAATGAGACAAGCTGTTTAGTAAAGGCAAGGAACTATGTTCAAATTCATTAATTAAAATTGAATTTTGAAATAATAGGTGCCAAGATTAGTGGTGCATGCATGCCTTGAATCCCAGCACTTGGGAGTCAGAGCCAGATGGATGTTTGTGAGTTCAAGGCCAACCTGGTCTACATTCTAGCTAGCCAGAATTTCATGGTGCGACTCTGTTTCAAAAAGAAAAAAAGGAAGAATAGAAATTATTTAACCTTTAAAAAAGATTTCCATTTCATTTTAAAATACACGGTTTCTTACAGAAACTCATTGTTTTTGCTAATAACAATTCAAATTTCATGTCTTACAAGGTTTGTACTGAGTTCAATATTGTATAACTATTAATTCAACTGTGAACCTAAAAATTTTGTAGCCATTTCTGAAAGAGATGGATCTTTGCTCTGGAAATTGTTATTGAGTACGTTAAAGCTGTAATGAAATGCTTCTTCTAAAAAGTAAAAAATAAAATTAAAAAAATTATTTAGCCCATCACATTGTAAAGATGAAAATTATGATAATCCACACCACTGTGGTGGAAGAAATAAATACTCTCATACACTCATGCTACAAAAATGCTCTCTTATGCTATATGTCTCAAAAAGACCAAAAAAAAAAAAAAAAAAAAAAAAAAAAAAAAAAAAAGCGTGAGCGATGGGCAAGCGCAGGGCACCCTGGCAAGAAGGGTGGAGCCTAGCTGCTGGTGGAGCTGCTGGATTGGAAAGGAAAAAGGAAGCGTGTGGGGCCGCTGGGGCGAATGGCTGGCGTCCTGCAAGCCTGGAAGCTAGACTGGGCATTTACAGACCTGGGGTGAGACCACGGGGAGGGGGCGGGGTGAAAGGTAACGGAGACTGTGGGCAGGGTGCGAATGTGATGGGAAGGAGCAGCCAGGTAAACACGGTTTCTTTGTAAGTCCTCCCTCCCTATCATATAAACCATGTGAAACCCAAGATAAAAATGTGTTATGTCGGTTTGTCCACCCACGTCAAGCAGGAGACCCTGAGAGAGAGAGGGTGGGTCACAGAGAGAGGGAGGGAGAAAATTTAGTGGTACATACGCTTAAAATACATACACATACATACCATTGTTTATTCTATCATTATTTATAATAGCAAACGATGGGAAAAAGTAAAATCATGCAGCAGAGCATGACGGCAGCAGGCGCTGGCGAGGTTGCCCTTACTCCCAGCGGGCATGCAACCACCTAGCCTAGCCTAGCACTTGGACGGGTTGCCTTCGAGCAGCTTTGGCCTGACTGGAACAGAGCCCGAACCCTAGTCCCAGAGGGAACCGCTCCCTGCGGACCAGTGGGACACCAAAACTTGAAGGCAGTTCCCACCCACCCTCTGCTGCCTTTGTCGCTTCCCCAGGTTCTCCCCGACGGGTTCTCCCCCCCACCCCTTTCTTTATTCTCCTCAGTAGGACACAAAAGTGGCTTCCACTGACAGACTAGGTGGGGGCGCTTTCCTTTGGAGAGTGACAGTGTAGGAGGATTTGGGGATTTGGAGAAGCTGGTTTTAACTGCTCTCTGCTTTCCAAGCCGCCCTATAACCCTCCGAGGAGAAAACCCATACCTGAAAGGTCGGGGCATTTTGTTGGGTGCTGGAGGAGAGAGGGAGAGGACTCATCTTAGTAGTTGGCTGGACTTGTACCAGCCGTTGGAAACCCAGAAGAACTTTCACACACACACTCTCACACACACACACACACAGAGAGAGAGAGAGAGGGAGAGAGAGAGAGAGTGTGTTAAAAATATCAGATAAAAAATATATTTGCTTTCTATATATTTCCTGATGACCTGCCCCTGACAGCGCGATGTACAATGCGGTGTGGAGTATAGATGGCAGCTGATATTTTACATTGAAATGGATCCTCCAGAGCTGGAGAGATGGCTCAGCGGTTAAGAGCACTAGCTGCTCTTGCAGAGGACCTGGTTCGATGCCCAGCACCCACATGTTGGCTAACAATCGTCTGTAACTCCAGTTCCAGGATATCTGATGTTCTCTTCTAGCCTCTTTGGGCATTACATGGCATAGGTGCCCTTACATGCAGGCAATATACTCCTATACAAAAAATAATAAATAAAATATTAAAAAAGGGGAAAAAAGTAAAATCATATCAATAAAAGCTTGGTTAAATGAACTAAGGCATGCTATACCATGACTCTACACAGCCATTGAAAAGGATAATGTAACTGGGTAACCAAATAACTGATGAGAAGTTGTCTAGCTTTACACATGCTTTTCTGTTTGTGAAAACTCCAATTATAAAAAAGCAGGTAAGATTTGAGCACCTACTTAAGCACAAGCTATGACAGTAACTGTCATTAGCCATGAAGGAAATAAAACTGAAACCATGATGAGGTAATACTACATACTTGCTAGGATAGCCAAAATAAAAATTACTGAAAAAACAAGAGTTCTCAAAAATGAGGAGTACATGGAATGATCATAGATGCAATTGAGCTGCAAAATTTCACAGGCACTCTGGAAAATATTTTGTCATTTTCTTTTGATGTTAAACACACATTTATCATATTACACAAGGTTTTCACTCCTAGGTATGTGCTTAGCAAGAAAATGATAAATCTCCATAGCACTGAGCTGAATAAATAAAGTCAATCTCAAAAGTGCTGGGATTAAAAGTGTGTACCACCACAGCCTTTAAGGGTGGTACACATCTTTAATCCCAGCACTTGGGAGGCAGAGGCAGGAGGATGTCTGTGAGTTCAAGGCCAGCCTGGTCTAATAGCGAGTTCAGGCCAGCTGGAGCTACAGGGAGACCCTATCTCAAAAAGACAAAAAAAAAGAGGCTGTAGGACTGGTGGGATGGCTCAGTGGCTAAGAGTACTTGCTGCCAAGCCTGACAACCTTAGTTCAATCCTCAGAATCTACATGGTGGAAGGAGAGGACTCCTACAAGTTGTTCTCAGTCCTCCACATGTATGCCATGACATGAGCATGGACCCTCCCCCCCAACACACACACACACACACACACACACACACACACACACACCATAATGTATTTTTTATTTTTAAAACGGTGATATAAGTCCATGTTTATGAGACACTCAAAAGAAAAAAAAAACTAAGACAGAGAGAAGATTGATGGTATCAGGAGATAGGGAGGAGGGAGATCTGAATGCAAAGGGGTGGCAAGAGGAATTTCTTTATGTGCTAAGACTATTCTTTATCCTGTCAGTGGTGTTGATTACAAGAATCTAGGCATGTATTAAAACTCACAAGACTGTGTGCCTACTATACAAAAATTAAAAATACTTTTAGAAATAAACTGTCAACAGCAATAATGATACCTTCCATTTCTCGATCTAAGGGAGGCACGTCATCTCTCATGGAGAAATCCATAGCTGTCCCTGGGATGTCCATCAAGTCTTCATCACTGGAGCTGCTCTGGAAACTACTAAAACTTCCCTGCTGAAAGCCTCTGTTATCCATGGCTCCTGTGTAGAAAGAAAAATAATGGGTTTATAACAATGAACAATTAGCACCTGAACAATTTTTCTTTTTCCTTATAGTGAGTACACATAATCACATGGCAAAATTGCCAACTCAGAGTTTATTTCACTTTCAAAACTTATTTCTTTAACTACCATTCACACTATACATATAAACATATTACTACTATTTATTTGATTTGCAAGAATGACTCACTGTTTGCAGTAGACAAGGGCTATGGGCATATACATATAATATACAATAGCTATAAGCAAGAGTAATGGTTTATTTCACATTTCTCTTTAAGTTCCTGCCCCCCTGTGATAGTTAATCTCAGTTGTCTACTTGACTGGATCTGGAATTAACTAGAACTCAAGTCACTGGGCACTCCTGCAAAGTATTTTCTTGATTAAAGTATTTAAGAAGGAAGACCCACACTAAATGTGGGTGGCACCATCTGGTGGCAGCCCAGATAAAAGGGGGACATAAGAAAGAAGCTTTGCTTTCTGATTGCTTGCCTTTATTCTTATTGGCAAGTTCATCTACCCTTTTACTTCTACTGTTGCATTCTGTTATTTCAGTCAGCTTCTTTGGGCTTCCAGCATAGACCAAAGACGAGCAGCTCCCCAGGAATCCTCCAGGGGAGGTGCCAGACTGAGACCACTAAGACACCCAGCCTCGTGAACTAAGCAACTACCACATTTTCAGCCTGTCTGGTGTGAGACAGCCACTTTTGACTACCTAGACTGTAATAAAGTCTCTTTTAATATACATATTCATTCTATTAGTACTGTTCCTTTCAAGAACCCTGGCTAATATACACCCTTTCTGGAAATGCAGTATTTAAGCATTCTGTCAGTGTTTTTATAGATGGACTCCAGTACCTCACACATGCTAGAGGCAAGGAATCTACTCCAAGCTATGTGTTTTTTATTCTTGCTTTGAATTTGACATCAGTGGATTTCATCAAACACATTTCCTGCCAGGTGTGGTAGTACAAGCCTTTAATCCCCACGCTGGGGAGGCAGAGCCAGGTGGATCTGGTTCAAGGGCAGCCTGATATACATAGTGAGGTCCAGGCCAGCTGGGGCTACAGGGAGATCCCGCCTCAAAAAGACCAAAAAAAAAAAAAAAAAAAAAAAAAAAAAACAAAACAAAACATTTCTTTGTTGATTTTTACTTCTACAATCATTCAAATGACTTTAAGGGGTCTCAAAATTGGGAAAAATAAGCTAGGTATGGTGGATAATACCTATAGTCTCAGTGCTCAGGATGAGGCAGGAGGGTGGGAGTTTCAGGCGTGAGTTAAAGAGACTACACCCTACAAATTGGAAAAAAATGTATACTTCCTGAAAGTGACAGGGTACTCACATACAATTGTGTCTTGGGACACCTCCTCAGCTTTTTCTTGAGGTTCATAATCTTGACACTTTTGAAGATTATGACAATTTTTCTTCTACTTTTTTTGAAACAAGGTGTTAGCTCAGGCTGGCCTCAAACTCACTATGTAGCTGAACAGGACCTTGAATTCCTGATCTTCCTACCTCTAATTTCCAAGTGCTACGATTATAGGCTTATACTAACGTGTCTAACAATATAACATCAGTTTGTAATAGTGATTATTTTCTAATAAATTCTTCCTTTTAAAATATTTCAATCATTATGTATTTGTATATAAGTACACTACTCTTCAAAATATTTTATTTAATATTTTTATTTTCTGTATCTGAGTATTTTGCTTGCATGTAAGTGCACCCATGTCGTGCAATACCCATGGAGGTCAGAAGAGAACCTAGGATCCTCTGGTACTGGAGTTGTTAGCAGCTATATGGGTTGGGAACTGAAACCAGATCTTCTGCAAGAGCAGCCAGTGCTCTTAACTGCTGAGCCATCTCTCCAGCCCCAAGTAGACTACTCTTTTATCAATTGGGTCCTGTAATTGTGGTGGGTCACCTGTCCTCTTGATCAAGGAGGCTGAAGAGACCCCACCAGATGGACTCGAACCAGTGTCCAGCCTACAAAGAGGGTCAACACAGAGGAATCACTTCCTCCATGCTTCCAAGTGAAGCCAACCATGGTCAAGCAGGACCTTTGACTTATCTTCACAT